AAGGGTCAGTAGGTATTGGGCAGAGTATATGGTACTCATGCAGGTTGTGGAGTGCTTATTACATATAGAGCATCGCAATTAGTGGTTATTAGTAGGTATTGAGTGAAGAATTTGTATTTATGTCTCGAACGCGATACCCAGTGGTACTTAAACATCAGGTAGAAGTGGTCAGTAGATATTAGAGAGTACGGTTATGGAGTCCTCATTAGATATTGATTGGCATTGTGTGGGCAGTATCCTTGTGTATTATCTAATAGTCATTATACACTAGGTGAAATCCTTGTCACATAGTAAACAGTGTATATCAAATATAATGTGGTATCTTTGTATGTTAATGAGTTGTCAATCTGTGGTACTTTGTCTGTTACGAAATGGTCAGTAGATATGAGACATTACGTAGTCTGTTACTAAATGTCCAGTTGATGTTAGGTAATGTGAGGTCACTCATGTCTTTTGCTAAGTGGAATGTAAAAAAGTAGGAAGTGCGTGGTATTCTTGTCTTCTATCGAGTGGTCAGAAGATATCGGGTAGATTGTGTTGTTTCTGTTACCAAACGGTCAGTAGATGCTAAGTATAGCGTGTATTGTACTCATGTCCGTTACTTAGTAGTTATAGGTGTGTGAAGATGGCAATGTTCACCCGAGGTGATTATAACTTAATTGATTCTTTTTTTGTGTCAATTGAATTAATACGAATCATGAAATGCTAAAGTAAGAATAACGCTGAACGGATAAGTATTCTTTAATTAATAAGTTGTTCCCTTGTTTATTTAACGAATTAACATGACGTTACAGATCCCCGTTGTAAAGCTTTGTTACACAAACATTTCCTCTTAATAAATAACATAAACGATGCTGTATTGTACTCATTCCATTAGAATTTCAGCACTAAGAAGCACGTTTCTTCATTAATGATAGTCACCAACATCTGGACCATCCAGATGGTTTTACGCCCTTTACATAGCATCGCATAATTCAAAATGGAACAGTGCGGCGATACTTGGCTTTTTTCAGTTGTTATACTCAAAATAAATTCCAGCCAACCAGCCAATGAGTAGAGTAAACTCATGAAAAAAAATTAAAATCACCAGAGTAAGCCCAGCTTGAAAACACGTTATGAACATCAAAATATCAGTTTAGCAGTTTTTGTGGTATGATTTTTCTATTTTTTTGTTTTTAGGTAAAATATATTGTTGGGCCGTTTTTCTTGAATTTCTTCGCTCTCAGTTTGTAGTCCCTCTACTAGCGCGTGTATATTCAGTTTGATAGCTAGTAGAGGGACGCTAGTAGAGGGACTATCAAACTGAATATACACGCGCGTGTATATTCA